AAAGCTTCTGGGAGTTGGAATAAACGTTTTGATAGTGTTTACACAGACTTTTGGAGAAGCCTGTATTTACAAGAAAGTGAGTGGGAGCTCTGTAGCATTTCTAATACTATATGTAGATGACATATTGTTGATTGGAAATGATATAGAATTTCTGGATAGCATAAAAGGATACTTGAATAAAAGTTTTCAATGAAAGACCTCGGTGAAGCTGCTTATATATTGGGCATCAAGATCTATAGAGATAGATCAAGACGCTTAATTGGACTTTCACAAAGCACATACCTTGCTAAAGTTTTGAAAAAGTTCAAAATGGATCAAGCAAAGAAAGGGTTCTTGCCTGTGTTACAAGGTGTGAAGATAAGTCAGACGCAATGCCCGACCACTACAGAAGAAAGAGAGAAAATGAAAAATGTTCCCTATGCTTCTGCCATAAGCTCTATCATGTATGCAATGTTGTGTACCAGACTTGATGTGTGCCTCGCTATTAGTTTAGCAGGGAGGTACCAAAGTAATCCAGGAGTGGATCACTAGATAGCGGTCAAGAACATCCTGAAATACCTGAAAAGGACTAAGGATATGTTTCTCGTTTATGGAGGTGACAAAGAGCTCGTCGTAAATGGTTACGTCGATGCAAGCTTTAACACTGATCCAGACGATTCTAAATCACAAACGGGATACGTGTTTATATTGAACGGTGGAGCTGTCAGTTGGTGCAGTTCTAAACAAAGTGTCGTGGCGGGATCTATGTGTGAAGCGGAGTACATAGCTGCTTCAGAAGCAGCAAGTGAAGGAGTCTGGATGAAGGAGTTCATATCCGATCTAGGTGTCATACCTAGTGCATCGGGTCCAATGAAAATCTTTTGTGACAATACTGGTGCAATTGCCTTGGCAAAGGAATCCAGATTTCACAAGAGAACCAAGCACATCAAGAGACACTTCAATTTCATCCGTGACCAAGTCCATGTGGGAGACATAGAGATTTGCAACATACATACGGATCTGAATGTTGCAGACCCGTTGACTAAGCCTCTCTCACGAGCAAAACATGATCAGCACCAAGACTCCATGGGTGTTAAAATCATTACTATGTAATATAGATTATTGACTCTAGTGCAAGTGGGAGACTAAAAGAAATATGCCCTAGAGGCAATAATAAAGTTATTATTTATTTCCTTATTTCATGATAAATGTTTATTATTCATGCTAGAATTGTATTAACCGTAAACATAATACATGTGTGAATACATAGACAAAATAGTGTCACTAGTATGCCTCTACTTAACTAGCTCGTTGATCAAAGATGGTTAACGTTTCCTGACCATAGACATGAGTTGTCATTTGATAAACGGGATCACATCATTAGGATAATGATGTGATTGACTTGACCCATTCCGTTAGCTTAGCACTTGATCGTTTTAGTTTACTGCTATTGCTTTCTTCATGACATATACATGTTCCTACGACTATGAGATTATGCAACTCCCGTTTACCGGAGGAACACTTTGTGTGCTACCAAATGTTACAATCTAACTGGGTGATTATAAAGGTGCTCTACAGGTGTCTCCGATGGTACTTGTTGAGTTGGCATAGATCGAGATTAGGATTTGTCACTCCGATTGTCGAAGAGGTATCTCTGGGCCCTCTCGGTAATGCATATCACTATAAGCCTTGCAAGCAATGTGACTAATGAGTTAGTTGCGGGATGATGCATTACAGAATGAGTAAAGAGACTTGCCGGTAACTAGATTGAGCTAGGTATTGAGATACCGACGATCGAATATCGGGCAAGTAACATACCAATGACAAAGGGAAATACATATGTTGTTATGCGGTTTGACCGATAAAGATCTTCGTAGAATATGTAGGAGCCAATATGAGCATCCAGGTTCCGCTATTGGTTATTGGCGGGAGACGTGTCTTGGTCATGTCTACATAGTTCTCGAACCCGTAGGGTCCGCACGCTTAACGTTCTGTGACGATCGGTATTATGAGTTTATGTGTTTTGATGTACCGAAGGTAGTTCAGGGTCCCGGATATGATCACGGACATGACGAGGAGTCTCAAAATGGTCGAGACATAAAGATCGATATATTGGATGACTATGTTTGGACTTCGGAAGTGTTCTGGGCAAGTTCGAACATATATACCGAAGTACCGGGGGGGTTACCGGAACCCCCCGGGAGTGTAATGGGCCTATTGGGCCTTAGTGGAGAAGAGGAGGGGCGACCAGGGTAGGCCGCGCGCCCCCTCCCCCTCTAGTCCGAATTGGACAAGGAGGGGGGGCGGCGCCCCCCTTTCCTTCCTCCTCTCTCCTCCCTTTCCCCCTTCTCCTACTCCTACTAGGAAAGAAGGAGTCCTACTCCCGGTGGGAGTAGGACTCCCCCTTGGCGCGCCCTCCTCCTGGCCGGCCGGCTCCCCCCTATCTCCTTTATATACGGGGGTAGGGGGCACCCCAAGACACACAAGTTGATCATTGATCTTTAGCCGTGTGCGGTGCCCCCCTCCACCATAATCCACCTCGGTCATATCGTAGCAGTGCTTACGCAAAGCCCTGCTTCGGTAACTTCATCAACACCGTTATCACGCCATCGTGCTGAGGGAACTCTCCCTCGAAGCTCTACTGGATCGTGAGTTCGTGGGACGTCACCGAGCTAAACGTGTGCAGATCGCGGAGGTGCCGTACGTTCGGTACTAGGATCGGTCGATCGTGAAGACGCACGACTACATCAACCACGTTGTCATAACGCTTCCGCTTACGGTCTACGCGAGTACGTGGACGACACTCTCCCCTCTCACTGCTATGCATCACCATGATCTTGCGTGTGCGTAGGATTTTTTTTGAAATTACTACGTTCCCCAACATATCGTTGTAGGGTGGTGCAATACGTTCATAATTCGCTTATAGTGGGTGGCGAGAGTGACAGAAGCTTATACCCGAGTAAGGGGGGTGTTGCGTATGGGAGTACAGAGGACTCGTTACTTAATGCTATGGTTGTGTTTTATCTTAATGATCTTTAGTAGTTGCGGATGCTTGCTAGAATTCTAGTCATAAGTGCATATGATCCAAGTATGGAAACTATGTTAGCTCATGCCTCTCTCTCATATAAAATTGCAATAATTACCGATCTAGTTATCAATTGCATAGGGCAAATCCTTCTCTTGTATTACAAAAGGCTTTCTACTAAACAACTAACTTTTATTACCTTGCAAATTACTCGTGTTTATATTCTCGCTAAGTACTTCTTTTTTTATTCTTGCAAACTTATCCTTACACTTACAAAGTAGTTTTATTCTTGTTCTAGGTAAAGCGAACGTTAAGTGTGCATAGAGATGTATCGGCGGTTGATAGAACTTGAAGGGAATATTAATTTTACCTTTAGCTCCTCATTGTGTTCGGCACTCTAGATGGGCATTGTTGAATTTCCGGAGAACATCGGACGTCTGGTGGCTCGGTCGTCCGGAGGGCATCGGTCTTCTGGCGTTTTGGTTCTGGACTGGTGGTATTGGATATCCGGCATTGGTCGGATGTCCAATCGCTAAAGTGTGTCAGACAAAAATATCCGGCATTGGTTGGAAATTCCCTCAGGCAAACTCTAACGGGCGACCCAAATGGACGTCCGTTTTATCCGGATTTTGTCCGTTTGTGTCGGGCAAAGGGGCACCGCCTGCCCTCTTTTGAGGATGCGTTGGCAGTGCGTCCAATGTACCCGGCGCATTTGGTTTGTCCGGTCGGCTGGCGGCCAAATGTAGACAATTTTTTAACTAAAAAGAAACATTGCATACAATTCACAGTCAAATAAATCACACGGTAAGATAATAGTTTCGCAACCGAATTAAAAACACCAAGTTTACAACCGAATTTAAATTTTCAAGAATACATCGAAAGAAAATGAACCAACAAATCTAATGGTTACCAATGTGAATCCACATGTGCTCAACCAAGTCTTTCTGGAGTTGCATATGACTATGCCCATCGCGCATTCCATGATGAAATTGGGTGAATTGTTAAACGTTGCCGGTTCTTGGTGCTCGAGCACAACATTTTCACCCTGATATTCAAACCCTTGGTCGTAGATATTGTTATCATGCTCATCCTCGATGATCATGTTGTGCATGATCACACAAGCAGCCATCACCTCTCAAAGCTTCTCGGTGCTCCATGTCAGTGTAGAGTGCCTAACAATGTGGTCATTGACGACCAATGTAGCAACCACAAGCTCTTTGTTGTGCGACGACGAGTCATCCGATGAACAAATGAAGTTGTTAAAAAAAATTACTCGGCCCCACTATCGATGATACCTTGCAACTTGCAAGCAAAGTGTCGAACACCTTGTGGTCGTGGTGGAGACGCGTCCGGTGAAGAGCATCTCAGCTTCCCCGTACAGGCAACAAGCCTGTAGTAGCGAAGACGTGTGCGGCAGGCGGCCTTGCAGCATGAGGTGGACGGTATTGGATCTGATGGGCGTCGTCGGCAGCCGTGGTTTCTCTAGTACCGGTGGCGGCGAAGTAAGCTCACAAACACTGGCAAGAACTCCTCCAGAAGCGGGCGAGGCCGGGGAATTTGTGTCGATGCGCCGGGGCTGCTGGGTGGTCGGCCTGGACAGCGACGGAGTTGCCGAAAAAATGGGCGGCGGCGGCTTTGGCGGGGGGTGGGGGATAGGTGCATGCCGCACATGGAAGGGGGTATGTTTCACCGATGGACGGGTCAGGGGAGGACAAATAAAGTGCCCGTGCCCTATCCATTTCGATGCAAACTTGACCTAATTTTAGGCCGGAAATGGTTTGGACGAAAAATGAACACCCGTCCATTTGCGGGCACGCGTTGGGTTCTGATTTGTGTCCATTCCTCTCCAAATTGACGCGAGCGGACCAATAGAGTCGCCCGTTGGGTTGGCCTAACAGATATCCTCTTCTTCGGTCAACCACGGGGCGATACAAGAGGCGTACTGGAGAGCTGCGGATCGATCGAGCAGCCGAGAGCGCGTAGCTAGGAAACGGAGATGGAGGCCGCCATCTTGAGCGGCTCCATCAAAATTATGCTGCCGAAGCTCTTGTCGCTGGTGGAGAAGAGTTGGAATCTGAGCAAGGACATCATGAGGGACATCAAATTCCTCGAGAAGGAGCTCGGCATGATTGTCCGTTCCATCGACATGGAGCTCAACGCGCCGAGACAGGATCATGGAGCAGCCCTGCTGCTCCTGTCGATCGAAGATCTGCGCGAACTGGCTCACGGGATAGAGGACTGCATCGACAGCCTCATGTATCGCGCGAGCTGGAAGCAGCAGTCTTCTCTGTTCCGCCGGCGCGTACAGTCCCCCAAGACGCTCCTCACTGGGCTGCAGTTTGCCCAGAAGCTGCAGAGGATGAAGCAGATGGTGGTGGAGGCGCACGACCGGAGGCAGAGGTACCCCGTCCCCGCCCAGACCTCCGGTGATGCCCCGTCGCCCTCCTCCTCTGCTTCGGATCCGCGCCTCGTCGACGCAGATCTCGTCGGCGTCGACGAGCACCGGGCGAAGCTCCTGGAGCAGCTGGCGGAAGCGGCCGAGGGGCAGCCGATGCAGCTCAAGGTGGTCTCTATCGTAGGGTGCTGGGGGTTGGGGAAGACTGCTCTTGCCGCCGATGTGTACAAAACCGAAGCCGGCGGCGAGAGATTCGACAAGCGCGCGTGGGTCTGTGCCGCGCTCAGGAGCCCCGGGGAGGTGCTGGCCAACATGCTCCGGGAATTCGGATCTGATTGCCAGGAAAGTGTGCTGCTGGACACCTCCAATGTCTCGCAGCTGTGCGTACAAGTCAGAAATCATTTGGCCAACAAGAGGTATTTACAACTCTCTGCTTTACTTCTCGGATTCATATCACATTTGACTTATTGATTCAGAGAGTTCTAGTTAAGCACTAATGTATCAATTTGGTATCACCTTGCTAGTACTAAGAGTGCTGAGTCAAAACTCAAAAGAGTCAACAGTAATATTTCAGTTTCCTTAATTACTCTGTGCTGTTGTAAGCAAGCCCTGAAAAATAAGCAGACTATGTGTTCTTCTCTTATCATGATTAAAATGAGTGACTCTCTAATGTTTCTCTTTTTCTACTATGAGTTTTAATCTCTTAAAAACGAAAGATATACGTACTTGAACCTGCTAATTTCTCAGCATTTTATATAGCTAGTGTGAGAAATTGCGGCCCTGTGCCCACAGGTGTAATTGATACTGGCAAAGTCATTATGTATAGCTGGCTTCAGAAAGGATGCAGATTAAATCATTTTTTCTTCTTGATTTGTTTTTTCAGATATTTCATTGTAATCGATGACATTCAAACCCAAGCGCAGTGGAAAAGAATCAAATCAGCTTTCCCAGATGACAACGATGGTAGCAGCAGAGTTGTGGTGACGACAACTATTCAGTCAGTTGCTACTGCCTGCAGCTCTGAGAACGGCTATGTGCACAGAATGAGTAGACTCGATGAAAAATGCTCGAAGCGATTATTCTCTGAGAAAGCTTGCCCAAAGAAATATTTGCATTATGACCAACCTGATACAACAGCAATTCTGAACAAATGCTATGGCCAGCCCCTTGCCCTGATTACCATGGGTGAATTCTTGAAATCAATTGGTTGGCCGATTGGACGTACCTGTGAAGATGCATGCAACAACATTCGTTATCATATGGAGAACGGAGAGACCTTTGGTGATATGCGACGCGCTCTGATGCGTAGCTACGCCAGTCTGGGCGGCCATGCTCTCAAAGCCTGCTTGTTGTATTTTGCCATGTTCCCGAGTGATCATCCCATGAGAAAGAAAAGCTTGTTGAGGCGATGGTCAGCTGAGGGGATTGTAGAAACCCAAGCTTCATGTGATGCCATGAAACTTGCAGCTGAAAATTTTGACGAGCTTATGGACCGGAACCTCATCGAACCCATCGGTGTAAGCAACAATGGTAACGTTAAGACTTGCCAAACTTATGGCATGATGCGTGAGTTCATTTTGCAGTTGTCAGTCTCCCAGAACTTTGTAACTTTGTTTTGTGATGACAAGAAAGAGGCTGGCAAATATGCCCGTCGGCTTTCTCTCCATCATAAAAATGCTAAAGATGATGACAGATTCAAGAATATTGATTTATCACTTGTCCGATCCCTGACAATCTTCGGGGAGGCATGTAAAACTGTACTCAATTTCAGCAAGTATGAACTGCTGCGAGTCCTGGATCTTGAAAAATGTGATGACTTGAAGGATGATCATATCAAAGGCATATGCAACCTGCTGCTGCTGAAGTATCTGAGCCTTGGGGGTAGTGTTACCGAACTTCCAGAGGATATTGCAAAACTGGAGCATTTGGAGGCACTTGATGTGAGGAAAACAAAGGTAAATATACTGCCGGTGGAAGTTTTTTTGTTGCCCTGTTTAATGCACATATTGGGAGAGTTTAGGATTTCAGACAAAGTCTACAAAAAGAGTGTTTTCCTCAAAAAGAAGACGGGTAATGAAGTGCGGAAGTTTCTTTCCGAAGGAAAAAGTAACATTGAAACTCTAGCAGGATTTATCACCGATGGAAGTGAAGGGTTTCTTCATCTCATGGGTCATATGAATAGATTGAGGAAGGTGAAGATTTGGTGTAAGCCATCTGCAGCTGCAAGTAGCACTGACTGGTCCGATCTTATGACGGCCATTCAACAGTTCATTCAGGACAAAAAGGACGAAAATAGTGATACTACACGTTCTTTATCGCTTCATTTTGATGAATGCTCTGGAGATTTCCTGGATCCCATACAAGGACCCTGCTATCTCAGCTCTCTGAAATTACATGGCAACTTAACTATATTGCCTCAGTTTGTTGTATCACTTCGGGGTCTCAAGGAGCTTTGCCTTTCGACTACTAAACTTACAACTGGTGTTCTTGAGGCTTTGAGTAGTTTGAGCCACCTGCAGTATTTAAAACTGATTGCTCATGAAATTGAGGACTTCAGTATAGAAGTTCATGCACTGCCCAGGCTTCTACGCCTTTGTTTTGAGCTGCAACGTCCGACATTCCCCACAATCAAACAAGGAGCTATGCGGTTTCTCGTCACACTCCAGCTTCTTTGCAAAGATATAAATGATCTTTCTGTCATCAACATTGAATGTTTCGAACATCTTGAGGAGGTCATCCTTCATCCTAGAGTCAGTCAAGAAACCCAGAAACAATGGGAGAAGGCCGCTGAGGAACACCCGAATGGGCCAAAAGTTTTGTTGTTCAAATCTGGTGATGAAGCAGAGAATTCAAATGATCTACTGAATCCAGCATTCAGTCGTATGGGGATTTCTGAAGTTTGTCCTCCATTAAATGAGTCGGCGAGCAGTATTGTGGTGTCTTAAGAAGGATTTCGATCCTTGATTCAGCATGCTGGTCAGTTTTTTTCGATTACTTCTCTGTAGTGTTAGTTTATGTATCACCTTAATTTCGAACCTTCCTCTGGAGTGTAGACAACCTATTATTGGCGTTAAGTCAATGGAGTGGAACGTCCTTTGTGCTGATTTTAACTACCGTGCAGCTTAATAATGAAAGGGATGCCTTTATATGTGATATTCATTGATCTAGGAAATTTTCAGTTAGCTCGATGTATATGGCTTTTGTTACCACGGGCTTTAGGTGTCGAAGTAGGCCTATATGTACTTAGGTACTCCTCTCAAAGTCAAACTATGGTACTCCCTCTGTAAAGAAAGATAAGAGTGTTTCTTATCTTTCTTTATGGAGGGAGTACTTGTTTTGAGGACCTCTAGCTAAGCAGAACTGGAATAGCAGTATGCTTTGTGCTTTTCGTAATGAGGAGACCATTAATTGTCATTCCTTAACTGACGGCATTAGGATCACTTACTCTTGTTGGTGTTAGTGCTTTTTTTTTCTTTTTTCTTGCAAATCAAGAGCTTTGATTCAATTAAACAATGGGATTACAATCGTTCAGCAATCAGGGAACTAAGAAGTTTGGTACATAATTAATCCATAAACATCTTCTTCTATTCTCCGAGGCTTGCTTAGCGCAAAGATGCGCCCCTTCATTGGCATCACGACCAGCAAAGGTTAACTGGAATAGCTCCAGATTCCCGCTAAGCTCTTCTATTTCTTGAAGGATGGAAGCAATCTCTGATCTACCTTCGCATCTGTTCCTCCAAAGATTGACCACCTCCTTCGCATCTGATTCTATGATGATCTTGGAAAGACCAATATCACACGCTAATTTGACGCCATCTCGGATTGCAAATGCTTCCATGACCAGAGCACTGGCAGCCTGCCCATACCAAATAGCCTGGCCCCTTATCATAATTCCTTGATGGTTCCTTATTAGAGCCCCTGTAGCACCCTCAGTTGTATTGGAACTGAAGCTTGCATCAACATTAATTTTCAGCAAGCCTTCCGACGGTGTGGTCCATTGCTCCCGTTTCTTCCATGCAGTCTCTGTAGATGCGTGAGCTGACATAGAAAGGTCTATAGCAATATCTGAAACCCATTTAACTGATTCATCCACTGACCTGGTGCTACCTTCATGCTCCCTAGCATTTCTCTCTGTCCAGACTGCCGAAGCTCGACACAAGATATAAGGTACATCATAAGTAGACACTGTGTTGCTATCAATTATGTCCATGGCCCATGTAGTCGGATGCAGTTTTGGAATTTTTACCGAGGACACCTGCTTGAGGTGGTGCCAAAAATTCTTGGCCCAAGTGCAATCAAACATAGCATGCTTAATGCTTTCTTCCCTGCCACAGGACCGGCAGAACGGGATTTTCTCAACATGTCTATCCTTGAGAACTGACCGGCATGGAATGAATTTCTTGATAACTCGCCACCAAAAATTGCAGACCTTTGGCGGGACCTTTAGTCGCCAAAGCTTTCTCCAAAGCGTACGTTCGTCTCGTGAAGAACTGATAGTTTTCCCAATGGCATTCTTTGCTGTTAGTAGAGCTCTGTAGGCGGAGCGAACAGAGAAATTACCATGTCGTTCCAACTGCCATGCCCATATATCCACATCCAGACTACCAACAGGTATTTGTATTATAGCTTGGGAATCAACTGGTAGGAAGATGTTATTAATTAGAGCTTCATCCCAAACACCATTATCTTGTCTTAACTGTGGGAAACGTCGTACCCTGCTCTGGGCGACGCCTGCGTGTTATATTGACAGGGGCGCAACTCCCTGGATAGCGTACAAGTAGTTTAGATTACAACTTGGGAGAGAGGAAAGAGATATCTAGTTACAAAGGATAACAGAGAATATAAACTGACTATCTCTATCTCTACCTCTAGTCTTCGGTTACAAGGAAAGGAAGGAAGGGACCGGCTAGCCAGGCTGCCGAACCATGTACATACGTGCTGGTTTAACACACTCCCTTAATCACAACTTGGTCAAGTTGAGATTACGCTTGAATTCCTCAAGACTCCTTGTAGGTAATGCTTTTGTGAACCCATCTGCAACTTGATCTCGTGAGTGCACAAAACGAATCTCCAATTGCTTATTAGCTACCCTTTCTCGAACAAAGTGAAAGTCTATCTCAATATGTTTGGTCCTGGCATGAAAGACTGGATTAGCAATAAATAGGTAGCACCAAGATTATCACATCATAGACATGGGACTCGAGTGTGCTTCACACCAAGCTCTTTTAACATAGACTGAACCCAGATAATCTCTGCTGTGGCATTAGCTAGTGCTTTATACTCAGCTTCTGTACTTGATCGTGACACTGTGGCTTGTTTCTTTGCACACCAAGATATTAAATTTGGTCCAAAGAATACTGCAAAACCTCCAGTGGAGCGTCTGTCATCTGGACAGCCTGCCCAATCAGAATCAGAAAAAGCACTAACAAGGGTTGAAGAGGACTTGCTGAAAGTAAGACCAAGGGCCATAGTCTCTTTTACATATCTCACTATACGTTTTGCAGCAGTCCAATGAGTTGTAGTGGGAGCATGAAGAAATTGACATACTTTGTTAACAGCAAAGGAAATGTCAGGCCTTGTTAAGGTTAAATACTGAAGAGCTCCCACTAGGCTTCTGTATCTGGTACTGTCTTCTTGACTTAAAGGTTTTCCCTCAAAAAGTGACAGTTTTTCTGTGCTAGATAGTGGTGTTGGTGAAGACTTACATCCTTGCAATCCAACTCTCCTTACCAGATCAGTGGCATACTTTTCCTGAGAGAGATGAAGGCTATCTTCATGCCTTTTGACTTCAATACCCAGGAAGTAATGCAGGTCTCCCAGATCCTTAAGAGCAAACTCAGCACTCAAATCCTTTAGCAGTCCTGACACAGCTTCATTAGATGAACTTGTGACAATGATATCATCAACGTAAATAAGAACAAATATGGATGTATTTGACTTATTGTAGATAAACAAGGATGTGTCAGATTTTGAAGGAAGAAAACCAAGTGCTTGCAGTTTCTGACTCAGTCGTGAGTACCACGCCCTGGGAGCCTGTTTCAATCCATATAGAGCTTTGTCAAGTTTGCATACATAAGATGGTTTGCTTTTGCTTTCAAACCCAGGAGGTTGCTTCATGTATACTTCCTCTTCCAGAACACCATGAAGGAACGCGTTCTGTACATCTAGCTGTCTGAGACTCCATCCCCTGGAAACAGCAATAGACAATACGAGGCGAATAGTAGCAGCTTTAACAACCGGACTAAAAGTGTCCTCATAGTCTATGCCATACCGTTGTTTAAAACCCTTCGCAACAAGTCTGGCCTTGTAACGATCTATGGTTCCATCAGATTTTCTCTTTATTCTGAAGACCCACTTGCAATCGATCAAATTTTTACCTTGCCGTGGTGGAACCAGGTGCCATGTTTTATTTTTGCGGAGTGCAGTGTATTCTTCTTCCATGGCCTTCTTCCATCGTGCATCACTAAGTGCCTCTTCAGGAGTGCTAGGTTCACCTGTGGAACACGCCAAACCAAATTTCACAACTTGTTTATAATTAATAGGTTTGGTTACCCCTCTTTGTAAGCGTGTACGCGGAGCAATGGCTGTAGAAGATCCTGCTGACACATGAACAGGCTGCAATCCCGAGGCAGATCCTGTCGGCGCTACTGTAGCAACCTCGGACAGATCGCCAGGATCCTCTACGGCTCCAGAAAGCGCCGACTCGGGTGCATGTGGCACAGACGATCCCGCGCCAGGTTGCCCATCATGCGGCAATGATTGGCTGGGCCCGGGCAAATCAGCACCGGATCGCGGGCCAGGGGACAGGACAGGATCGGCGTCAGGATCCGTGTCTGTCTCACGCCCGTGCGGTGGAGGGCTCGGCTGCCGTCGCCGCACGTAGTGGCAGGGCCCGCTCGTGGCCCAGCGAGTCCCAGTGGGCCGGGTGTCCACGCCGGATTGGTGCGGGCTGGAGGCCGCGTCAGGACCGGTGGAGGAGCGCCGCGCGTCGCTCGTGGATGCGCCAGCGCCACGCCTGGCTGGCGACGCGGTTTCCAGCGCCCTGCCGCCTGCCGATCCCGAGGCGGATCTGCTGCAGATCTCCTGCGCTGCTGATCCCGAAGGGGATTTGTTCCCCAAGGCTTGACACATAAAATGTGAAGTGTTTGTGGCTGTTGCTGCACCATTTTCTTCACAATTTTCAGCTGCATCATCACAAAGCTCATGCACACGGTTATGAGAATTAGTCAATAGTTGATCATCAGAATTATTTCCCCCTAGATCAAGGCCGGTGAGATTTTGTGGTAAAAGGAGGATTTCTTGACGTAGAAGTGCGCCGGCGTTGGGATGAAGTTTGGAGAATGGAAATTGTGTCTCATCAAAAACAACATCGCGAGAGATATATACACGACCCGTAGGTATATCAAGACACTTGACACCTTTGTGTTGGTTGCTGTAACCAAGAAACACGCATTGCTTGGATCGAAACATAAGCTTGCGATTGTTGTAAGGACGAAGATTGGGCCAACAGACACATCCAAAAACACGAAGTGTGGTGTAATCTGGTTTTGTGTGGAGAAGTCTTTCCATGGGAGTTTCATTGTTTATGACACGACTAGGTAACATATTGATGATGTGTACTGCAGCAAGAAATGCCTCATCCCAGAATTTGAGGGGCATAGAGGCGCCAGCTAAAAGTGCTAGGCCAACCTGAACAATGTGTCTGTGCTTGCGCTCAGCTGACCCATTTTGTTGATGAGCATGCGGGCAAGACACATGATGAGAGATTCCAAGTTTTTGAAAGAAAGAGTTTAATTTTTCATATTCACCTCCCCAGTCAGACTGGAGGGCAATGATCTTGCTATTGAATTTTCGTTCAACCAAAGCTTGAAAATTGAGAAAAACTTGGAATACATCGGATCGTTTCTTAAGAAGATAGATCCAAGAAAACTTGCTATAGTCGTCA